CTCAAGGAGTCAAACAAAATTAATGACGTGAGTCCCACCAATCAAGCTTTTCAAAAGTGGTTATTTATTTGACTTGTTATTAGCAGCCATGAGTTTATATTCATGCTTCATGATTAGAGGGTTGAAGGTTAAGTTGGGAACGTGGGTCATGTTAGATGGATTAACTCGAATAATCTATTGTAAAGATCAAGTTGGGTTAAAAAGATTAACTTAAACAAAATGAAATTTTTTAGCCTAGACTAGATAATTTGTTATCCAAATTGGTGATTTTTTTTTTCATTTGCATGGAATATTATATTTAAACTTATCATTTAAGTTTAATTTTTTAAATTCATGGAAAAACATTAAATGGATTGGCATGTTAATCCATTTAACTACCAATCCATGAGGGTTGTCTTATTTTGTAATTTTTCAACACATAAAAATGGGTGACCAGACAAACTCGTATTTTCTCCCAACTCAGAGAAGCTAATCATATAATTTAAGTTAATCCATATTCTCCATTCTAATTGTATATATGTATATAGTTTGCAAAAAAATAAAAAAGAATAAAAAATTAGTTTTTATTTATGATCATACTTTCAAACTAGACTTATCAATTAAAGTTAAACTCGTTCTTACATAGTTTTTTATTGTCACGCCATTCGTCCGCCTAAACTCTAAGCTCCTTTGTACATATAAGCTAGTCAAACTCATTTAAGCTTTGTTAAATTGAGGATCAACAATAGACATACAAATAAGTAAAAGAGCTAATGGGCCCCATTCAAGCGGGGAAAAACAAGTTTACGAGGTGGGTTTCTCTCAATTATTTTTTTATGTACTATTCCCTTATTGTAAATCTGAATTGTTTAAATTAAATTTATATTTTTAAAAATTATTAAATTTAATTTAACGGTTTAGATTATAATGATTTTTTTTTTTCCTACTCTCCTCAACAAAAGAGGAAAGCCAATTTCCAAGTTGAAGCCTTCTTTCACTCTTTATTCTTATCCCCTCAATTCTCAACTCATGGCTAAGCTCATAATCATTTTCTCAATTTTGTCGTTTCCCATGAGGTGGTGCTTCACCTCTGCTGCTTCGTTCAAATCACATTGATCGATGATGAATAAAAAATTTATTAAATGTTTACATTTTAAAAAAAATTATATTAAAATCTCACATAAAAAAAATTAATTATTATGAAGTTTGTAAACAACTAACATGAAGTAATTTATAACTATTTGTGTTACAAATTGCTTTATGTAAGTTATTAACGAACTTTACAATAATTAATTTTTTATATAAGATTTGTATGTAATTTTTTTTATATTTTATTCAAAGAATGGTTTGATTTATGTGTAGTAATGTATTAAAATTTTCTGCATTATTATTGTATAATTTAAATTATGAATTTGATAAGTTACATATTTTTTTTATTTGAAAAACATGTTAGAATTGGATTAGGTGTTGAACCAATTAGGGTGTTCATTCACTTAACCATGGTTAGACTAGTCTCACTTAAAATAATAAAATTTTAAAAAATATGTATGAAAAATAAAAATATTTTAGACAATATTTGATCATATTCTTGACATACATATCAAATTTATAATCAATTGCACCAAAATTATAATAAAAATATTTATTATCCATTACAAATGACCAAAATTATCAAATACACCGCATTAATTGTCTAACAAAAGCAACTCAAGCTTCCATTATTAATTAAAATCACCGATGAATTATCATGTAGATGTAAGTATGTATATATGTATGTATGAAATATAAAAAAAAATTAACCACAAGACGTATAAAAAAATAAAATAACATAATTCTGAGTTAGTTAATGAGATTTTTTTAAAATTAAATAATGAAAACTGGTTGCCCATCTGTTCTTGATTGTTTCTCTTTATCCCTAGTTCTAGAGGTTGATTAGATCAGACAATAGGCTGGTATAGGGTTTTCAAAACATCGAAAAAGTAATATATTACATATACATATACATACATACATATATATATATATATATATATAAAAGGCTAAATGATACCCCTCTTTTTTAAAATATAATGTATTTTTTGATAAATTAGATATTAAAAAATATAAAGTATTTTTAATTTTTTGAGGTGTAATTATAGCATTTTTTTAAAAGTGTCCCTATTAATAATAATTTTATATTTATTATAGAGTGTTTAATATGGATAATTATGAAAAGATATAGTTAATTTAAAAGTAGGTAATTACTTTATTGAGAATGAGATGCTGTTAAAAACACTTTATATTTTTAAATATAGGGAGTATATTCTTAAAGCTTGATCAATAATTAGTCATTTTAATAACAATGCTACCTTCCTTTCTTAAAAGAAATTTTAGGTTTAAACCTAATATTGATATATTTATGTGCGTGCATATGTGTCTTTATTTCTTATAAGAAAGAGTTTTTTCTTTTTCTTTTAAAGCCCAACCTTTCAAGGGCTGGCAATTAGAGTTAGGCTGACCTTAATTTCTTGGCTATACTTAAAACTTTGAAACAAAATTTTGTTCAATTAGTTTTTAATGTTCCTTATTAAAAATTGAAACAAGAGTCGCGAAATACTAGTATTGTTAAATCTGAGTAACAAAGTTGCACAAAGTAACCTTTAAACGATCAATCAAGTTAATTTCCAATGTGTTTTATTAAAAATTGGAATGTGAGTTGCAGAAATGCTCGTAAATCATTGTCAAGACAAGATGTATCATTTCTTTCTTCTTTGTTTTTTTTTTTTTTACGGGAAAGGGAAAAGAATGATAAAAATGCTTTTTTTTTTATTTTAAATTTGAAGATTATTTGTGGTACAGATCGTAAACTCATGCCAAGAAATGTGTCGGCGATTCACCTGAGACTGAGAGAAGGAAATAAAGTGCTCATTTTGCCCGCAAAGTTCACATGTTGAACACTAAAGTGTCTTATTAATCTATGTTCTGTGCCTGGAAATAGGTCAAAGATTCTTCTTTTTTTTTTTCCCTTTCCTTTTATAAAGCAAAATGTTTGGGTAGGTGAGTTCCACAAGTTTATTAAAATCGAGGCATGTTTTTATATTCAAAAAATATTTATAAATTATTTATTAATAAAATTTTTATATCAATAATAATTAAATCTTCATAATTTTATGAGTTATGATCCAAATTCTTACCAAATGAATAAATATTTATCAGTAATAAGTTGAAATTTCTCAACCATCTAAATTTGTTGAACTTGACATGCTAAGTTTTTTTTTTTGGAATTAGAATCTTTCAGTAAATAAAAAATAAAAACTTACATAAGGTTTTACATAAAGAAATTAATTAATATAAAGTTCATTAATAACTGAACTAAAGTCATTGGATCTTGTGGTAATTAATTTTTTTGTGTGAAATTTTAAATTAATTCTCCCATAAAAAAAGAAGAAGAAAAAGGAAATGTGTAAATAAAAATATTCAACCTCATACTCATTCCGTTAAAAAATGTAAGGTATTTTTTAAAGAGTTAGATAATTAAAAAATAAAGTATTTTTAATTTTTAAGGTGTAATTATTATTTTTTTTAAAGTGCCTCTATTAAATAAATTATTTTATATTTTTTTAAGGTGAAACACCCTATTAAATAAAAATAAATATAAAAATATAAGATTAATTTAAAAATAAGTAATTACTTTATTGAATGGTAAAATTTAATTAAAAATTCTTTATATTTTTAAACGGGAGGAATAGGGTATAAGAAACATTCATTGAGACTTGGATAACTTTGATCTTGAACTTTATTCCATGGTATAAGGTCTTAAATCTTATTTCTATCCTCTTTTTAGCATTAAAGATGAGAATAACTTATAGCTATTTAAGCCTTCATTTTATGCTTTTGTTCTCATTGGCCACCTATGATAGTCAACTATTGCTAATTGTTGGTTAAAAAATTTGGGATGTAAAGTATAAAATGACTTGGCTGGGCGTGAGAGAAGTCTTACATTAGACAGAGTTAAGTTGGAAAAAAAGTATGTAGGTGAATAAGACCTATAAATTCATTATTTTAAAATATTAAATTAAAATGTGATATTATATTTATTTATATATATGTTCTTAATTTGTTGGGCCTGAAACTCCTTGGCCCCAACATCTTCTTGAGAATTTGCATGCCTCCTCTCCTATTACACCACATTCAAAATTTATTTTAAAATCAATTTTACTAGACAAATTTTAAAATTTTTTTATTTGTAATTTTCTGAACAGATGATTTAAACGTATTTTTCCCTCATAACTTGTTCCTAAAAATAGTTTTACAAAACTGTTTTGAAAAGCAGAAATAAAGTCAAAAAAGCCTAAAGTTTTTTTTGTTTTAAGAAGTATGAAGCCCACAAAATTACTTCGAACAACTTACTGTAATAAGTTCTTAGCTTGCAGAGTGTACAGTTAAATTGTGTTGCATCTTGGGCTTGTGGCTTGAAACAGGTTTTTTTGAAACAAAAAAATCCTTTTGTTGGCCATAGACATTCTCAACATATAATCATCAAGCCAAGCCCAGGTTTAAAAGTTTAATTATCAAGAAGAACAAGAGGAAGAGGATTGGTGGGTGATTATTTTATTTCTCTAACTATTTTATTTTAAATAAAGAGTAAGAACTTATTGGGAGAATCATATCCAAGAACAACTCAAGAAAATTATTCACAAATAAGAATTAATATGAAATGAATTATTGTTAAAATAGAAATATGACTTGATTTTTTTTTGAATAGAACTTGTTATTAGTCCTTATTTGTGAATAATTTGCTTAACTAATTCCTGATGTGATTCTCCCAAACTTATTTAAACCCTTTGTTCATTAATAAATAGAGGAACCTTAGGCATCAAAATCATTATGACAGATGACATATCAAAATAAATAATAAACACTAAACATCTTAATGCGAACTTCATCTAACAATACTTAACACATGACAGAATTATACTTTGAACTTAAAGTTTTCCTTTTCATTCTTATTGGTTTGCCTTACCAACAAACATAAAGTGCTATACCAGCAAACACTAAGACTTTAATAATAAGCCAAACAGGGAGCAGAACACTTTATTTATTGTGGCAACAATGACAATACTTTATCATCATGCATTATACAAAAGAAAAAAAATAAAGAAACATCACCCGAAAATCCTCCAAAAAAATACAAAAAAAAAACTGGAGTTGTTAGCTGTATATTATACATGTATTTACTTGCTCAACTGCTGCAGAAAGTAAAAATTTTTAGCTCATCAAATCCAACTGAAATCTTGTAACCAAATTATATAAGAAAATTTAGATAAATTTGATTTTTATATTACAAAAAATACATAGTTAAAACATCGATTTCAAACTCATAACCTCTCTAGTATGGTCTAGTGAGAAGAAAGATAGAGATGGTAGTAGGAACATGCCCACATGTCTACCTTTTTTCTTATTGGACTGTACAGCTCTTGCAGAGGATTTAGATCAGTAATTTGATGTACCCAGTTTTAATAAATCAAATATTTATAAGAATCTCTTAAAAATTTGTGTGTTAGATATGCCTCCAAGGTCTTTCAGCAAGGCTCACACACTCACTGTGCCTGTAACAATCCACAAGGTGGTCAATGGTCAAACCTGCTGCTTGCATGAATGAGTGAACTATAACGGGCCCCACAAGTCTAAACCCTCTTTTGACCAAGTCTTTGCTTATGGCCTCAGCTTTTGGTGATCTCAATGGCACATTTCTTGGGTATTTGTATCTGTTAATGGCTGGTTTGTGATTTACATGTCCCCATATGTAGTTACTGAATGATCCACATTCTCTCACAATCTGATCAAAAGCATCCAATTCACATTAGCTACCGAGTTCATGTTATGGAACAGATTACTTAAACCTGTTTGGTACCAATGTAATATATAGAGAAAATCACAAATAAGGACCTCCGAATATCTCAAATAACCAATCAAACCACAAAATCACGAAATCGAGTTTCAGTATCATGGTCTAAAATGCCCCTAGTGACCAAGTTTGCAAGTCAAGGAATAAAAATTTTCCGATTCAAATAAAGTGATTTCATAACTCTCTTAAACTAAAATTCCAACCTAATTAAAGTGATCTGATCACTAGCAAATTTTAAGTTAGCTAATTGCAAGTTTGAGAGTAAAAACATTTCCAACTCAAATAAATTGATTTCATAATGCCTCAAACTAGATTTCTAATATAATTAAAGTGATTTCAGCTCTTGCGATTTGTAAATTGGCATTTTAGACAGGGACAAGTTAGTCAAAATATTGTCTTTAAAACTACAAAAAAGAACCATGGTCTTAAAATGTAATTTCGTAATTTCATGGTCTTGATTGGTTATTTGCGATATTCAGATGTCATTATTTGTAATTTTCCCTAATGTATGTTGCCTAATGCCTAGGATGATTTAGGAGATCATCACTCTTGATTTGAATACTTGCCTTTACTATGCATTTGGCATTGTCTACTATGCACCTTACTCTGCTTTCTGCTAATGAAAGAGCCTTGTTTGATTCTATCTCCATGATGTCTTTCTCCTCCATTTTTGCAACTGTGTGAGGATCAAAGCCAGCAAAAACTTCTCTGTGTGAAGAAGCATGATATCATATCAGCTTCACAGTATAAACCAAGAGTATGATTTTGTTCCAAATCTACATGTTCTCATGTGAGTGTACCTGAGAATTTCCTTCCTTTTCAGAATTTCTGTCCAGTTGTAGTCCATCAACAAGCCAGACATTGCAAGCAGCTCAAACAATTTGCTGTTTCATGATTCAAAACATGGAAAAGTGATTATATATATAACAGTAGTAACTAATTATGATTTTGTTTCTGATATGTTCTTACTTGTCATCATAAGCTGGAACCCCCCAGCACTCATCATGAAATTCTATGTAAGCCTTATCTGCACAAAGACCTCCGTCATTTTCATACTCACAATTTCTCTGACTGCAAATGACTAAAAGCAAACAGATTCATTTCTACAAGAGTTGAAGTCAAGTAAGTGAAGCTGAAATGATGTGATTAAAATTTCACCATTCTCTTAAAAAGGCATCAAGTTGTTTATTTAGTTATAGTCAAGATAAGAAGTATCAATGAAAAGCTACTTCATGAGCTAGACTTTTATCTCAAGTTCTCTTCTGAATGTATAATACCCTTTATAATCTATATACTAAATTTGACTTTTGCTTTTCAGTTCAAGATCAGAACCTCACTTAGTAGCTTAGCAGCTTCAGTGCTGGAGAAGAGAACATCAAACTTTCCAAAGTGATGAACAATATATTGGAAATAAGAAAAATGAACTTACCACTGTTCTTTGTGATCCAATTGCACCTTCTCAATTCCCCAGGCTCAGTAGGATTGTTCTGTTGAGTTGGCTGCTGCTGCTGCTGTGCAGTTTTAGTTACAGGAGCAGGCTCCTTTCTATGGTGAGGCGAAATCAAGCGCAGAGCCAATGAAATCTTCTGGTCCAATGGTGTCAGAGAATCTGCTGTGAGAGAAGAGTCATTTGAGTTCTGTGAGAGAGACAAAGACAATGATGACAAGGATAGAGATGAATTGCTTTTCTGAAGCCCAATTGGATACACTTTCTTGAGGTACTTGGGGAAAAAGCTCTGGCTTGGTTTCTGTGTCTCTTTGACACTTTTGCTTCTCTCAAGACCTTGCTTTCTCACATTTGCTTTAGACATAGTGGGGAAGAAGAAGAGCAACAACAAGAAGAAGAGATCTAGTGCTATAAATAGAGGACTTAAAAGTGGATTGTGATTCATAGAAGTCTGGGTTATTAAAAGAGATGGGATTCATTCCAACGAGGGAAATTTTCAAGCTGGTTGGTTAGAATGTGAGTTTCATATATAATGGATTCTTATACTTCTTGTTTTTCAAGCAATATTCATGAATTCTACAGCATGGGAAGCTCACATTGTTGATAATGATATTTCTGTGTATGACCTCTTACAACTTTTATATTGTGAGGAAGGAAAAAAAAACAAAACAAAACAAAACCTCTCGCCAAATCCAATGAATTGCTTCACTAGTTTATTGTATACATTAATCTCAATAATAATCAGATCAGGACAGTGCTTCCCATTATTTATAGTCAAGCAATCCCATTTATATAACCAAAAAGACTAATGAGCTATTTTCAAGTAGAACACTAATGAAAGATTAGAGGAGGCTAATGATGGTTGTTATAGTTGTGAGGTTTTTCTCAAAGCAAGGTGTGATGGGTCCATGTGATTCTTAACTCTTACTCTTAAACCTCAAGTTTGAAGCTTACCTGTGGCCTGAACAGATAAAGATATCCCATCCTTCTTTAATTTTTAGGGTTCTTAAAGCAACTTGTAATTCTTTTTCACTTGAAATGATGAGATCTTTGATTTGATCTTGGTTGCTTTAATGGTTGTTCCAGCTAAAGTGTTGCAGTAAAAATGTTCGAAGGATCTGTGTTCTTAATTCCTATGTTACTTCTTACTGAATCAAAGAATAAAGAATGTTTTTAGATAATCTGAATCTAATTATTTGAAAAGCACTTCAAAAGTCAAGTTCCAAATTTCTCAATCAGTAATTATATAGAATTTTAACATGATAATCGATAATTAGAAAGGTTTAATATATATATATATATATATATATAACACAAAGGGATAAAGTTTTCTCCAATAATCTATATTTTTTTTAAAAAAAGAATAACATTAGATCAGAACTTGGTTGACCTTAGCAAATAAAGAAATAGGTTGGTTGTTTTAATTAAATATTCTTTCAATTCAATATTTATGTTTTAAGATTCTTATGTCTAAACATATTATTTTAACGTGAAGGTTTTTGATTGGCATTTCAATATCATGTTCATCTACATGTTAATATTTTTTTAATATGTTATAACTTTTTTTTTTTCCTTTGAGATTGTACTTCTCTTCCATTTATTTCAATTGATTTATCAAATAATGAAGTTCAATATTTTTGGCGGAGAGTAGTAATCTTTTACTTTTATTTGAAGCGGTTTATATTTCATTTGTTTATATTTGCAGAGAAAGCAAAGCAAATGATGAAATGAATGAATGATCTGTCATTTTTATTTGTTTATACTCAGATACACCAACAATTTTGTAATTTTCATTTATTTCTCTCTTTTTTTTTGCCTCTTTACTCGAAATGGAAACGTACATTCTTGAAAGAATATTTTTATTTTATTTTTATATAACTATCTAATTAGATTAAATTCAAACACTATCAGATTTGATTGTGGATGATTCTAAAAAGATATTTTTTATATTCAAATTAACTTAAACTGAAGATTTTATACTTGAGCACTCATAAATAGTGGTGGTGCCAAGAATTACAAGATAATTTAAAATATTAATATTTTTTAAAAATGATAATTTAATAATTAAAAATAATAATTACATTAAGACTAAAATTCTAATAACATAAAAGATTGATCAACCTTTTATTTTCTAAAATTTATATTGAACAAGTTAATATACATTTTTATTATAAATATAATTTTTATATCTTATTTAGATCATTAAAATATTATATATAATAAATTTTTAAACCTAAATATTTTTTATTTAGTTCGGAAGTACAAAATATAAAAAATAAGAGGTGTAACGTTATAAAATTTACATACTTTACTTGTAATTTTTTCTAAAGTTGGGAGTACATTTGCACCACCTCAATATAATGGGAGTTGTTTTCTTTTTCAGAGAGAAGCCTCCTTCTCACTTCCTCTAAAGAAAATGTATATCTGAACTATTTAGATTTATTTTTTTATTTATTAAAATAAAAAACTTTATATAAATTTTAAAATTTTAATAAATTTATTCATAAACAATACAAATTTAATATAAATGGTTCATAGTTAATATTAAAATTTTTATAAATTAAATATCTAAATATATTCTGAACGGTATAAGTTTAATATAAAATTTTTTATATTTTTATAAATTTTTAATATTAATGCGTATTGTCCATGTTAAATATGGAATGTCTACATGGGCAAACAAATTTATTAAACTTTTTACAATTCACATAAACTTTTTATTTAATAAATGTAAAATAAAAAATAAAAAATATTAAATCTAAACCCTCCCTTATAAAAGTGCAAAGAAGGCTCCCCTTAATAAAGGAAAGCGGACACCAACATAATGTGGCTCTCTGTTGTTAGGATCAACATCTACTTTTAGATAAAATATTTTTTTTTAAATATGATCTCCGTACAAGCTACTTAACCAATTTGATTAAGACCTATAAATGGAAAAATGTGAATTGCAATTTCAATATATATATATATATATATATAATATTTATTTTTAGGCTAAAATATATAAAACCCTTATAAATTTTAAAACAGTTGCATATAATTTCCTTCACTTTTAAAAATTTAAAATTACTCTTTTAACCTTTAATTTTGTTTTTCAAAACCCCCTATTATTAATTGTGTTATTTTTTCATGAAAGTTAAAATATCATTCAACTAAATAATCTTATTAAACAAAAATATTATGTTATATAATTATTTATAATAAATTTTTAATATTTTTTGGATAATTGAGGCATTGATAATAAAAAAATATTATTATCACTATATAAAATTTTAAATATTTATATTTATATTAGTTTTATCCATTTTTTTTGTTATCAATGATGCATGATTTTATTATTTAAAAGATAATTTTGTATTTATTTTCATGTTAGATTAATGTAATGCACATGGTTAAAATATTTAAATTTTAAATATTAGATAAATTTTTCACGATAAAATTTAAAATTAAAAATATTTTAACCATGTGCATGACATTAATCTATCATGAAAAATAAATAAAAGTTTATCTTTTTAAAACAATAACATCATGCACCATTAATAACCAAAAAATGAATAAAACTAATATAAATATAAATATTTAAAATTTTTATACAATGATAATAATATTTTTTGTGTTTATCAATGCCTCAACTATTCAAAAAATATAAAAAATATTATAAATAGTTATACAATATAATATTTTTATTTAATAATATTTTTTAGTTGAAAGACATTTTAATCTTCATGAAAAAATAACATAATTAACAATGGAGGTTTTGAAAAATAAAATTAAAAATTAGGGAGATTAATTTTAAACTTTTATAAGTGAGGGAGTTTAGTTATGTAACTGTTTTAAAGTTTAGGATGGTTTTATGTATTTTAGCTTTATTTTCATATAATATGAATTAGGGGTGTTCACGGGACGGGACGGGACCGGGACACCCCCATCCCGTGTCCCGTCCCGAAAAAAGATCAGGACTAAATTTTGGTCCGGTGTCTCGTCCCGTCCCGAAAGTCGTCCCGTCTCGTTAAAAGTCAGGATGGGACTGGGACAAGATCGAGACGTTCCCGTCGTCCCGATAAATGGAATAATGTCGAAAAAAAATCTAGATAATAACGTTCATTAAAATTTTAAATCATATAATTTACTAAGTTTAAAATCAAAACAACACAATCACATAAATAACAATAATTAAAAATCAATTATTAAATTATATTAATCACAACTACATATTATAATAACAAATACAAGTGATCTTTATGCTGTAAGATTAGCAACAATAGGCAAGTCAAACACAACATCAAATCATTGTTCTTCTACTTTAGTGAAGATGTACTAAGCTAATTACTCTTCTAAAAATAAGCAAGAAATATGTTATAAATAAAAGTTATTAAATAGATAGATATAAGATTAATATATATATATAATTAATATATTATAAAGAAAGATATCGTCATGTTTACTCCATGCCATTAAAATTATTAATATAAAAAAACTTTAGTTTTAAATAAGAATTGCAAGTATTAAAAGTATAATTGATATACTTAATAAAGTATAAATTATATTAATATAATTAGTATATTTAAAATAAAAAATAATATATATAATATTCGGGACGGGACGGGACGTCCCGATGGTAGTCCCGTGTCCCGTCCCGTCTCGAACCCTTTTCCTGTCCTGTCCCGTAAAGTCCCGTCCCGATTACTTTCGGGCCGGGACAAGACCCGTCCTGATATGATCGGGACGATACCGGGCCAATCGGGACGGGTCCAGACTGAACACCCTTAATATGAATAATATTTTAAATTAACATTTTACTATATTATATTAAGAGTACTCTAAAATTTCATATCTTTTATTAAAGTTATCAATTAGCATTCGATATGTTGTTAATAATTGATATTTAATTGTCAATTGAACAACTCCATTAATAACTATTTAACTAATTGATAACTTTAACATAACAAATTGACAATTTTAGCAAAAGACATAAACTTTTAAAGTAATTTTTTTTTGGATAAAGTGGCAAATATATTCACAAAGTGGTTAGCCAAGGACATCTAATATCTTAAAATAAAGAAAGGGTAAAAATATTTATAATGTTACATGAGTGGATGCAAAAGTGATCAGACCATGAACTTTGATATAACATCATTAACTTTGATCATTAAATGTTGATTGTGTCACATGTAAGTCTTTGCTGACGTGGACTAGTAACGTGGACTAGTAAAGGGGTAAAATACCCATGAAGCCATCGGTTAGGAACAAAAATATTGATAATGTCACCAAAGTTGGTCAAAAGTGACCAATCTATCAAATCTCTTAAATGTTGATCATTTAGCTGATATTTAAGTAAAAATTGACTATTTTTTTTATGAATGTAGACCAAAAATATTCCCAAATAAATTTTTATGGATGTTGATCGATCATCATATGAGTATTCATAATTAGTAACCAATCCATCAAAATTCATGTTGCATAATTTCTTTCCATCACCAAGTATTTCACCCCCTTCCTTCCTCCATTTTCACTCATTTTTTTATTTGCAAAACCTGATATTCAACATAGTAAAATTGATTATATACATTCAAAAAT